ATTTGATTTCAGATATTTGTAACAGTACTAATACAATTTGAAAGGCTGATTTTAGCCATTGCTTTCCTTCAGTTCTGAAATCTAGAAAACTTGATGGGAATTTAAGTACAAGGGTTCTGAGCAGACGTGTAGAAAAGTAGTGACTATAACAAGGGATGATAATGATTTAAGAACCTTTTGAGTAGAGGGGTTATTTTTTTTTTTTTATACTGAAGCTGAACAATGTATGAGTGTGCAATTTATACTACTGAAATCTGGTATATATGACCTCAATCAACTCTCCTCTTATAATGTAAAACAAGTTTGTACAATTACTCTGCATGGCTGGGTCTTGCCCTTTAATAATACAATTGGATGTATTAAATGATAAGTTTAAAAAATTATGCAAATTCATAGGACAAGGCATTCTGCCACCTCCTTGCCACTTCCCACTGCCTGTCCGTGCCTCTAATGATAATTCTCAGCCTTGTTTATCTCTGAAAAGCTGTAGCAATACAGGAAATAGTATGTTAAGATTTAAATGAGAGTAGTAGGAGAAATGTACCATGTATTTAATCTGTGCATTTATATTAAAAGAATTAAGTGAGTAGGGACAAAATAAAAAAGGCAACACATTATGTGATGTACACTTAGCAAGGGATGTCAAGGGTAACAGGAAACAATTCTCTAAATGCTTTGGGAATGAGGGGAAAAAACAAGAAGATTTGGTTTGGTACTTAGGAGGGATAAGGAAGGGGAAACCATCAACAAAAGAGACATTGAAAAAATTGTAATTCTTATCTTTTTATCAGCTTTCCTTTTAAAGGGTTAGCTGCAGTCCAGTGGCTAGCACAATTAGTGCTAGTGAGAAGGAGGAAAGATCTTGTTCTCTTACTGAGAAAGAACAGGTTACATTCATAGACTATGTGGATGGCTGGGAAAGCAGAAAAGAGAGTATTTACTGTTTTAAAAAGAGAGGTGGAAAGAGAGGAGAGTCAGATAATTAGTTTCAATTCCTGGAAAAATACTGGGAGAGATAATCCAGAGCTTGCAGACTCTGGGTTTGGAAGAACAAAGGAGATGAATACTGGCCAACAAATATTTTTGAGGAATAAATCATGTAAAATCAAGCAAATTTCCTTCTTGGAGAAGGTTACAAGCCCTGAGGATAAGGAAAAAACAGCAGACATCCTCAAATTTATCCTTAGTCAGGCTTCTGACTTGCTTTACTTGACATTTTCATAAGCAAGTTAGGTAAGCGAGAGCTAATGAAACTGCTTTTGGGTGAATGAATGCCTAGAGAGATCCTTTCAGAATGTAAGGCTGTGCTGGGCAGGGAAGCATTTTGTTCTGTGTCCAGTTCTGCTTGGTATTTTCATTAGTGACCTCAGGAAATGGGAGCCTTGAAGATGATACGAGGTGAAGAGATGTTTCAATTATGATGAAGAACAGGATTAGGATTCAGAAAGATCTGGACAAATGGTGGAAAAAAAAGATCTGAAAGATACAAATTTGCTAAAAATAAATGCAGAATGCTTTGCTTAGGAATAATTACTTGAAAAAAATACTAGGGTCTGGAACAATTGGCTAGGTAGTCATTTTGCAGAAGATCTGAGGGTTGTGGTGAATCACTAGCTGAATCAGCAGTGTCATGCTGTTGCAAAATGGCAAGCTGGAAGTTATAAACAGAATTACAGCCTGTAAGCCTTGTAAAATATTCCTTTTGCTCGTGTTGATAATGCCTTTACCAGAATACAGCACCGAACGGTAGTAAATCAATTGGAGATAATCTGGAGAAGAAAAATTATCAACAGTCTAAAAATCATGACATCTGTGGAAAAAAGAAGATTTAGGTTTAGACAATCTGGAAAAGAGATTGTTTACAGCAGACATGGTAAAAGACTTCCAATAAGTAAATAGGTGTTGCAAAGAGAAGTGAGTAATCTTCGCTTTATCTGCTTGATTAATGGGACAAGGATTACTGGACTTAAATTGCAAGAAGGAAATTTCAGGTTAGGTAGTGGAAAAGGTTTCTGACTGTACAGATGGTGAAGGACTGTAATGTATTACTGAAGGAAGTTGTCAAACCTATATGAAAGGTTTTCCTTTCCTGGGTGAAATCCCTTTCCCTGACTGGGTGAAATCCCTTCTAGCCCTGTTCTTTGACATTCTAGCATTGAGTTAGAATGTTTTGTGAATTAAAATTTAACACAAAGGTCTACCATAAGACTCTCTGAAGTGTTTTGGAAGTTAGAAAGCCAGTATGTTACTTCTGACTGTATTGTTATTTTCTGTCAAAACTGCATTGTTGAATTGTTAAGAGTGAATTACTGTCTGTTGGCTACGCAGTAGCATTTATTACTTCAGTTCACAGAACTGGATTTCTAATGTATGGGTTTTTTGAGAGATAACTAGCTACCAACAAATTTGCAATTGTTCATAGAATTTCATAAATAATGAAATTAATTTCAATTTAGTATTTCTTAAATAGGAAAAACATGGAGAACATGTAAGTGAAAAGATGCATTGCTTTTATAATTTGAGACATGAAAGCTTGTCTAAGAAACTTACAATTGCATATTTTGATGATGCTATTCTATTACATCATTACATTAAAAAAAAACAAACAAGCAAACAACCCCCCCCCCAAAAAAAAAAACCAAAAAAAGATGCAGAAAGCCTGTTTGCCCCATTCAAAGTGACATAAAATCTAATTAAACACTCATGGGAGTTCTTTTGAGCACAGATTAAGGTAAGGCCCAAAATCCATATGTTCTTATTTAAATGTGTACAATGTGGGAAACTATGGATTTTTAAACTGTAAATTTGGGGTCCAAATTCCATGTTGCTTTACAGTATTTTGTAACTAAGCTCATACTCACCAAGTTTTTGTTTTGTTTTAATTTCAGATAAATATGAGAGAGAAGCCAGTAAATATTGGAATGAATTTTACAGGACTCATAAAAATAACTTTTTCAAGGATCGCAATTGGCTGTTTCTGGAGTTTCCAGAAATTCTTCCAGAAGATAAGAGAGAAGAGTTGAAAACAGAAGAGAGTTCTTCAGCACACACAAATATAAATAGTACCAACAATTTCTCACACAAAAATGAAATGTTTGAGGAAGGAGAAGAATATTGGAAGAAAAATTATGAAGGTGGTTCTACTTCTGTACAAGGATATATATGTAATAAAAAACAAGCAAAATCTCTTGCTGACAATCCTCAGGGTAAAAACTGTGGAGAAGAACTTGGCAGACTAGAATCCTTCCCTGGTAGTGATGCCACTTACAGAATATTAGAGGTAATGCACTGCAAATGTTCTACCCATCATGTAGAACTCCACTTAATTGCCTAAAAGCCTGATAAAGACACTTAGTAAGTATCAAGAAAGTAAACATTTAGAATTTGATGTACTACATTCATTTATGGCAGAAACTTTCAGGAAAACCTGCGATCTGGGCTTCGTTTTCCCTTTAAATTTTCTCCTGAATCAGAATTTAGGGCTAGATTGTCAGATTCCATTTTCACTGGAAGCTGGATTTTCTAATTTCCTAAGGAAAGTTATGTCTTAAAGTGCAGTACTTGACACATTCTTGCCAAATGGTGAAATTGGACAAGAATATTGCATTTTCCTATGCAGTTTGAGAGATGGATTCCCTCTTAACTTTAGAAAGACATTGAGGAGAAACATGATCAGAGAAGTGATTTGAGAATTGTGATATGAACTGTTTATACCTTTTGTGTCCAATGTACCTTCAAGTCTGATGGGTCCTACCTACCAACTAATTTAAGACAAAAATTAAAAAATACAAAATTTTATTTGCTTATTGATTTTAACTTTTTGTTTTTGTTCTGATTTTTAGGTTGGTTGTGGTGCTGGAAACAGTGTCTTTCCTATTTTGAAAGTTCTATGGTATGTAGTGCTGGATTTTCAAATATGAAAATTCTATTCTCATCTTCTTCGTTTTCTTCAAATGTTTGTGCTAGACCAGTGCTGCAGGCAGTGTTGAATGGACTGTTTTATAGCCCTGAAATTCTGATTGCTTGCAGACCACAGATAATGTTAGTAGCATCAGTACAAGATACTCCTTGTACTGGTCAACCCTAATCTTGGGGGGACCATATTTGCTGACAAGGTTAGTCTCCAGATGCGTTCAGACTGATTTCTTGTAGTTAGTCTCAGGCTGGTGAAATATTCTCTTGTCTTATATATCATGGTAAAGCTACCAGATATCTCTTCAAAAGACCAAAATCAGCAATAAATAATGGCATGTGATATACGGGTAAGAAACTGTGTTATTTCTGAATTTGGCTGGTACACTTTGTCATATTGCTTCAGGTTTTAGTGTCAAGGAAGGCACAAGTTCTGTATTGCATTACTTAATTCCTTGAAACATCTTAATCCACTTAGCTTCTGGTTTTACAAAAGCTGTTACGACAGCATGTCCTCCCTTCCATGTAGGCAGGAAGGTTTTATTGGAAAGGCTTTGTATGTATCAGGGATTGAAGTAGATTTCTTTTTATTTATGCCTCCAAGAGCTTGAGTATAGCACAGTTCATTAGCCTATAGATGAATTCTGATTGCTAGCATCACCACTATATAAAAATACTCTGCAGATATGGAAGCAGAGAGCAGGAGTCAAGTGATGCACCAGAGTCATACATGAAACCTATTAGTGTTAGCAATGCTTCTTCATCCCACAACAAATGCTTTGCTTTAGACAGCATGTGATGAAAGGGGAACTCTGTTTCATGTGAAAAGTTTGGAAAGTAACGCTATATAGGGAAAAGATGCCATGTGGCTCTGTTAAAAAAGGTGAGACGAACTTTTGTGTTTTCCTCACAGGAGGCATTAGTCATAGGTTGGCATTTCTGATAATTAAGAATCCACTCATTAGGTATTTTTCCTGGAGATCTCTATTCTTATGCAAATCCTTCAGTCAATCACGTTGGTTGGTACATTGAACGAGTCACACATTTGTCTTGTATATGACCTGATGGAAACATTTCTTATCTCTTAGCAGGCCCAGCTTTATAGGACAGTTGGTTTTACTCTGAATTTAATAATATAAAAATTGCCTTTTGTATGCTTATAAAAAGAAGCCAGTGTCAAGTATGAGTGTACCCTGGTTACAAAAAATTTTCCACTTAGGTTTGTAACGTTACTTTTAAACTGCTTCCCCCTGCCCCTCTAAAAATTTAAGTTGCTGCTTTTTAATACAAAGCATCATGAAATCACCATCCAGATCAAGCCGTGTCTTTGTTTTAAGTTGACTTCCTACATAGCTCCTATTCTGCTCAAAAAAAAATGAAATTACATCCTAACAAGTCCATTAGGTAATCAGCTTAATCTTTCCCAAGGGAGTGGCTGGGTCCAAAGCCTAGCTGCTTGTCCTCATCCATGATAAATATCTAAACTCATCATTTCTCATGGTGGGCACAGAGCTGATAAAAATTTTGCTCAGCAACAAGAAGGGAATATATTTTGATCCACAAGGGTTCTCCTGTTGAGCCCTCGGAGAGAGGTTACTTCCTCAGCTGTGTATACTGTGAGATCTTATAGGCACTGCCAGAGTTTATTGATTCCCTTTATAAAGGAACTGTCCAAAATCTCAAATGTTTGTTGAGAGAGATTAATTGATCATGAGTTGACCATGAGGTCATCCCTCAGTAGATTTTGAGGGGCTTATTGAGTTTCTCTTAAATGAATTTTTTGGAGGTGAAAAAAAATTCTCCCTAGAGTGACTAGTATCTGATGAACGGTACAAGGAAATTTGCAGCTGGCCTAGTCTTGGTTGGGAAAGGAGGGGAAAACAGTGCTACACGAAATTCTTATTCATCTTGGCTTACAAAACAAAGGGAATAATGGAAGGGAACAACAAATACCGCCTAATCTCATCAAAAGCACAGCAAGGTGGCACATGGGAACCCAAACACCTACAGAACTGTGGATGACTTTTGGAACACCTCACCCTTGCCCAAATCATACTGCTAATTAAACTGCATACATGGGCTAATGATGGAGACTTAATGTAGTGCTTCTGAAAGAAAATGTGACCTATTAATGTGCATTTATGTAATACAACACCAGGACATTGTCATCAATCCTGACAGCTCTCTGTGACCTTCTTTCTTTTCCTTTTCACTTCTTCCCTGACAAGGCTATAATTCTTCTTTTTATACTAACTGCCTGTTGGTATTCTTATGAATTTATCTGCCCTATTGGTTCATTACAACCTATGTGGCTTTCCATGTGCTAGACATCAATAAGGCATGCTTGATCAAACCTGTGGAGAACCCCAAAGGGCCCTCTGTAGTTCCACGAACACTGATGTAGACTTTCATCTTTTACAATAATAATTTTTTAACAGATGTTGGTTTTGTTTTCCTAGCAATACACCTGGAACCTTTCTATACTGTTGTGATTTTGCTTCAGGAGCAGTGGAGCTGGTAAAGGTAATTCGTATGCTCACTTTAGAGTACCTTATAAGCCTGTAATTCAGGAGGCTGCCAGGAAGCCGTCTTCATGAAAAAGAATGTGATGGCTTTGACAACTTTTAACTGAAGTTTTCAGTATTCCAAAGAACAAAGTCTTACTCTATGCAGAGAGGAATGAATACCATCAGTGAGCTTGCTTCTCAGCTTGAGTAAGATACCAGACAGAATAGGCTTTTATATGAGATGTTTTACAATGCTGAATAATTGAAGAAAAAAGTTTCTTGAGTCACAGTAAACGTATTAACTACCACTGTTCTCTCTGTGCCTTTTTTCATCTTTTTCCTGACAGTCACATTCGTCCTACAATTCAGCCTGGTGTTCTGCCTTTGTTCATGATGTGTGTGATGATGCTTTACCCTATCCTTTTCCAGATGAGATCCTGGATGTCATTCTCCTTGTCTTTGTGCTCTCTACTATTCATCCTGACAGGTAAATGAAGACTAAAGGGCAAAGCAAATGGGTTAAATCTCTTTTATCACTGGAGGTTTTCAAGAATAGCAAAAGAAGATGATGAATCTTTAACTTATTATTTAGTAAGCTACAATATCTCTATATAAAACAAGGTATTTTAAATGCTGTTTCCCATTTTTAGGCTTTAAGAGGAAAGATGGTCAGGCTAATTCATTAGTGAGCCTTCTGTCTCTATCAAAATACAAGGGGTATATTGTGACTAAATACATCCCTATTAAAAGTGACAGTGATTCAAGAGAATTACAAATTAAAAAACCAGGCCGCTAGTCTTCTAGAAGAAAATTATTTTTAGTGATCAAACCCAAACATTCATGATTTAATACCTTACAATATGTTGATGAAGACTCAGGTTGCTGATTTAGTCATATGCAAATGCTTACATGCAGGCCTTTTAAACAAAAATGCATTCAGAATTTTCTAACTTGTTTGGATTAACAAAACTTGATCTAATTTTCATGTATAGTGTTGAGTACTGTTAGCCTTGTTACTAATGCCTCTCAATGTCTAATGAACCAGACTTTATGACTGTTAAGGCTGGCTGATTATGAAAATGCCCTTTCTTTAATGGGAAAAATGCAAAAGAGAGCATGTAAGTTAAACTCCTTGATTCTTCCTTTAACTAGATCATATGAAGGGAAATACATGCTGTATGTGTGGTAGTACGTTTATTACTTTAAAAATGTCGTTAAAGTGGGCTTGGCAAACAGAACAGTATTTGCCTAAGTCTGAGAACTTTTTCCCTGCCTGAGTTATTAATGATTAGCTTTACAGAAAAATGTTTCCCATATTGGATATTACTTCTTCCTGTTTGTTCAAAGATGAGCACATGAGTCATGCAAAGCCTGGGTCTAGATTTCAAAAACAAGTCAAGCAGTAGATTTCAGATCTCTGTAACTGCAGTGATGCTGCCAGGAAGAAATTGGACAATAGAGATGCATTCATTCAATCGCTTTGCCTGTGGAGGCTGTAATCAGATGATCTGTCAGAATTTCTGTGGATCTCTTCCTATTAGTCTTTTGAGAATGTGTGTGTGTGTTTGTTTGTTTTCCTCCCCATGTCGGCATCTAAAGGCTGACATGGATGCTTTTGTGTGTGTGTGTATACACACATATAGATTTCCATGTAATTATCTGTGTTGCAAGACCCACTTTCTGAAGATTTGTTAGTCATTACTGTCATCTCATAGAATTAAAATAACTGCATAAAGGCAAATGTAATCCAGATTCATCTGGCTCAATATACTTTTTTTCTGGAAACTTTGAAAGTGGGAAATGAAAAGGAAAACCAAGAGAATGATGATGCAGAACTTCCATACTTTGGAGGCCTGGAAAATACACGAGAGGGACACATTTGTATTCAGCACAATTGTTACTTAGTGATTTCTCTTCAGGTTGTTGTGTTTAGTTTTTGATAATTGTTACTCTTGTACCCTATTTTTAACACACTTCAATTCTGCTAGAAGGCCCCTCTAAAAGTTGGTTGCAGAATTTAAAAGGTATTAAACTTTCTTCAAGCTATGTAATTAATATGTAATGTGCTCTAGTCCTACAGGATGAGATTTTTCAAAGCACTTTCACTTTTTGTGCATGCACTTTTTTTTTTCTATGTGCATAAAACTTATGTTTGTATAGGCAAAGTCTGTAATTCTGTGCACAACTACCTGTCTTGAACAGTCTCTTATTCTTAGATGGTGCTGCCTTTTCTGTCTGTGGCAGCACACTTGGTTGCCTGTGTTGAGCATCAGCAAAGAGGACAACTTTTAAAGCACTTGGCTTCCTCTAAGGGATTCTGTGCTTAAAAAGTGTACACTGCTTTTTGTTCTTGTCTGTTTGGAGATAGGATATTTTCTGCTGAACTACCTCCTAATTCTGTCCCTTAGAAATCAAGGTAAGATGCCTGCACTGCTGTTGCATAAGGACAAAATTGCATTAGTTCTTGAGTTACGACATTCTTGGGGCAAGGGCGTAAGACCACCTAGAGACAGGGATGGTGTAAGGATGTTCTCTTGGTACACAGTCATGGTACATTGATTTTGTATAGTTATAGACTTACTCTTCTTTAGCTCTTTTCAGATACAGCACCCTGCCTTTCATTCATTTTGCATTCACTCTGGCTCCACATCTTCTGCATGGTCTATCTGCTTCCCTATGGGAGGAGTGGTTGAATTAGGCAAGTGGACTTTTCTGCCTTGCAGCCTGGCAGATGCAGACTGCCTTTTGTGTCTTTCATGAATATGGAAAACCTGAGTCCTTCAGTTTATTCTGAAAGAGTGAGGCAAAGCCAAGCCATTATTCATTAGTAACATATTTTGCAGAGTAATGCAAATGTATTTATAAGAAGCTCCAAGTAAGGTTAAAAAGTGAGAATGAAGATGCTCTG